TTTATTTCATACATCTTAAAAGCTAACCAAGGAATTTGTTAAGATTATGAATAAATAGCTTGTTAAATTATGTACTTCCATTATATATCTTAGAAGAGCAAAATTTTCAACAACTATATTTGATGACATAAAATCCACTCCTTTACTCCCTAAAAATAATCTGGGTCTTTTATATGAAACTGTAATATCTAGTAGACTTATGTTTATCCAGATGCCACAAGTTACCAGCACTCATGCCTAACTTCATACTAGTGCAATATGAGAGAGAGGTCTTGTATGTCATCAAATATACTCTTTCTTGATCTAATAGATGGCTGGCTTTAACTTATTATGAATGTATTTCTCACGCCAAGGTAATTAATTTTGTTTAACAAACAAAACAGTGTTTTATGTGATTTAGCCATTTCCTACCGAGTATGTGCATGTGTAAAAATTCAGATCAAAATAAAAATATATCTGTAAAATGACTATGAATAAAGACAAAAGGAAAACTTTTCTTTACAGATGTGTTTTGTCTTCTGATGAATTTTATCAAGCCAAATGTAAGGATTTTATTTGATAAATACTTGTTGCAAAATAAAGTCTTTATATTTGTCTTGACAAAGTCAATCTGAGGACAAAACATGTTGGTAAAGAAAAGTTGTGTGTGTGTGAGTATATACTGTTACAGTATAACTTGAAACTCAATCAATAAAATATATACCATTTAATTAGGTTACTGAATCAATTTATTTCCACAATACACATGCATAAAAGATGTACTTAGTTGACTAGCTACAAAGTAGATGATTTCACTAATTCTAGATCATGTTAACACCTCATTTTGCTCTGTGTTCATGAGCCATTGATTCCTTGTACTGTAAATTTTTATATTTTTTTTTCAGCAAACATATTCTCACACAAATGAAAATAACTAGCATAAACAACTACACAATTCTTTTATTGTAATATTATTCTTTAATAATAATGAACTAGAGTATAGTGAATGTAAAATTACCTATACTATTAACATTGTAATTATATAATATTAAAAGGGGAATTATCTCACTCCAAATAGTTGACTCAAACTATTTTAATGTCACTGTAGAAGTTTTTTTTAACTTCTTGATATCCTGACTGCAAACCCATTGGCAGAAAAATCAGTTTTTTATTATAATTTGTTAGAGATAGGAAAAAGACTAATTTTTTTCAGATTAAAATTCTGTAATGATCATGTAAGTTATAATATAACCTTGTTTGATTTCAGACATTTTCAATTTAAGAGATTTGCTGTGTAAAATACTTTTAAATTAATTCTTTAATTTAAGTTATTAAAGTTTGGCAAAATATTGAATTTATGTTTAGTTCATTTCCTTTGGAAGTAAAAGTGTAATCTGATATTTTTATTGGTACAGGATTGAAGTGAATCTTTAGGAATTAATGCTGCCAATTTTTTTTCTTCTCAAATGAAAGGTGAATATTGTTTATTCATATCGTGATATAAAATATGACACTTGAAGTAAATTTCTTATATTCTTTATGTTATGACATATCTGTGAAGTTGATATTTACAAATTATGTACAATAAACAGCACAAATAAGCGATATGTGAGTGTAGAGTTATCTCCCGTGATGAAAGCAGTCGCCATTTGTATGTAGGCAGACGTAAAAAGAAAATATTTAGGGCTAGAACCAAAACAACAAAGTGAGAAGCTTAAATGAAAAAGATGATAACCATAATCATTAATGAATTGATGAACTGAAATCCTGTTGAATTTATTCAACATATTAGAAAGAGATGATTTTTGAAAACAAAGCACAAAAAAAAAAATTATAATATCGCAAAACAAATTAAATAAATAAATAAATGAAAAGTGGAGCAATTTTCCTTTTTAATTTCCGCTTGTACATTCAATGATTTTTCTCAGAATAAATATCCAAATTTTACATGATCAGGTTTCTTCCCCTGCCCCACAACCAGAACCGACCCCCGATTTTGTGACCATTATTGCTACTTAAATGCTGTGGCAACTACTATCAAAAGAGAAAAAAAAAAGAAAGAAAGAAAATAATTAGGTCCTTATTTGCTGAAAATTTTAGTGTGTTTACATTTTGTATCAAAAAGGTGGAATAATTTTTTTCTAATCTTTCCTTTATTTATTGCCAAAGAAAACGAGAAGATTTTTTACCCCAGTGCACCATTCATGATTTTTTTAGAATTTTTTGTTTATTACTTACAAATATTTTGATTAAAAAAAATTAACCAAGTCTTATAATCTATTATACACATTATTTTTAATGTCCCATATAATTAGGACGGAGATAGATGTCATTCAATGTACTATAGCAACTTCTTCCTACCCTGTGGCATGCACACCACCTCCGCCTCTTTACCAAACAAGGGACGGAACTAATATTTCGGAAGTGAAAGGGAAGATGTATATAATAACAGTCACTAGCAGTGAGTTATTAAAGATTTTAGTAATTAAAACTAATTTGTCTCAATTTCAGTAACATACTCTTTTCAACAACAATAATTTTTTTTTTTTTTTAAATCAAGGCATCCGATTCAATCATCATCACTGGACGAGATAAACCAACACAAAAAATAAACAAGAAGTATTTGTACAAAGGCTTCGCTTAGGTTTGTTGAACGACTTTTTTTAGCATTATTTTGAGCTTCTATTTGAAAAGTATACTGTATCAGACAATATAATCCTTTTTAATTTAATGATAAATGGAAAATTATAAAAGTGAAGGTTGAATTAATGAATGTGTAAATTTAAATTACAACGAATGATGTAAATTTTCTAAGAAAGTTAACTTTATTATCAATCTGTAGAAACGTTGAAGAATAACAGAGTCCTCCTAGGCCTTTGAAGAGATATGATAACTCTCAAGTGTCTTTTTAAATCAAGTAATTAGAGAGAATGGCATTTGTTCAATAGGATAATCAGTAAAATTAAGTAAGTTATCCAATTAGGGTTTCTGATGAAAGGAAACTTAAATAAATTTATCTGCCCTTGATTTAAATCAAGATTTTATATTACAGAAAAAAAATTATTGAACTAATTTTTTTCTTTCATAAAGAAAGAGTTTTCTATATTTGCTTTATTCTGGAGAAGTAAGTTACAAACAGCATATTAAAGGTCACTTAAAGCTAACTTGTAATAAGAAACTAATATATTACTCGATGCATTTATTTACTTAATAATACTAAAGGTTAGGTAATTAAAGAAAGGCTACTCCGCTACTTAGTTCAAATTCAAACGTGATCGAAGAAAGCCCATGCGCAGGCATCTTGGCCTTGAAGTATTTATTTCACATCAACTGCAGTCAGTATTCGTGTACTTTTACTTTAACATTTCTATTTGATTACCAATTCAAAATATAATCCTGTTTGTTGAGCTTAGAGTAGAAATTAAAAAAAGATAAAATTCAAAATAACTTATGTGGATTTATTTTATTGTACAAAAAAGTTTTGCTTTTTAAACATTGTTTATTGTTTACCACTTTCACGTGTCCGATGATTGAGTAAAAAAGTATGTATTTTTGTGAATTATGAAGATGTCATTTTTTTTTTTTTTTTTTTTACTGTGGATGAATCAAAACAAATGTTAAAAAAAACTAAAAATAAATTTTAAAAAAAACTGATGAAAAGTTATGATAATAATGAATTTATGAATGATTTGAGTTGCGCGCATAATCATCGGAAAAAAAAAAAAAAAAAAGACTACGGCACATTTAATTCTCAATAATTATGAAGATAAAAGTCCCCACCCAAATAAGTAATTCGTAAACTAACTTGCATAACAAACTGAAATTGCGTGCTCCACTTTAAAAATAAATAAGAAAAGAAGTGCTATAATTACAGAAAGTAAAGAAAAGTGATCAAATGATAAAACAATGAGGATCTTCAACTAAACAAATAATAATAGTCAAACAAATGAAAAGAAAGAATAGCCCTAATCTTTTCTCTCAACAAATCCGATTTACTACAGCACGTGTTAAAAAAAAAAATATATTATTATTATTATCAGCAAAATCATTAAGACAATAACTTCACAATTACAATACGCCAGGCAGAAAAACATCGATTTTTACATTCTTCAGGCTTACTTTTTAAACACACACCAGGGCACATGGGCAAAACTAGACTAAATCACTATGACCATGACAGAAAAAAAAAATTATTTTGATTCATTTTATTTAACGTAAACTGTAAGTAGTGTCAGGGATACAACTCTTAATGATCAAAACGTCTTAAAACTTTTCACAGCTGCAGACAATCTTCCCTTTTTCGGTCAGTCATTAAAAAATATAATGAAGTTAGTAAAAACTAAAGAAATAATGGAGAAAATGAAGGCTGGATCAGGCAAACCACACCATAAGTGGTTCTATTCAGAAGCTGGCTTTTTTTTTCTTTCTTTTTTTTTTTTTTTCTTCTGGCTACCGTTTTACGCTCTTTATTTTTATTTTATTTTTTTTTTAATTTGTCAACGTGTGGGTCTGTATTTTTAGCCATTTTAAAAAATACATATACTCGTATTTTTTAAATATGACCTCAAAAATAAAAAAAATATATATTTATATACATTACAATATTGAGATTATTTATAAACCGCGATCGAACCCAGGGAAAAAATTATTAATATTCTGAATAACTGTTATAGCGGTCTTAGTGTAAGTATTCAAGCTAGCCGTGTCTCCCTTCTTGACTTAAAATAAAGAGGCGAGCCCGGCAAAAAGAACGAGTTTTTTCTGAAGATAAAAAAGGGGGTTACATTAAAGAAGTACTCCATGAACATTTTCTATATAACAGATAATAATAGTGTAGGCGATGTTCAAAATACTTTAATAAATAAATAAACAAAGTGAAAGGTGGGAAAAAGGTTGCTGCTTCTGCTGCTATCAGTATTAAAAACAACTGACCACACAAGAAGGTGGTGGTGGTGGTGCTTCCCTAAGATCTAACAAAGTTAGAGTCCAGAAAAAAAACAATAGAGGCAGCTTGAACTTACGACGACTGGGCCTCCGGGGACCGGAAGAGGAGCCGCTATCGAAATTCCTGGCTCGGTCTCTCTCCCTCGAGCTGTTCTCCTCCATCAATCGCCGCTCGAGCTGGTTTAGCTTGTTTTGGAATGAAGTGGACATCTTGAAACATGGATCACATGACCAATGCGGGCAGATATGGCTGCTTATTTTTAAGCCGCGTGTTTCGTACTCGGCTCAAATTTAATTATTTTTACAATAATTATTTAAAATTCTCTGTTTAACATCTGAAAAAGTGATTTAATGAAATTAATCTATTTTCTAATCCTTTTATTCTATTTTTTAATAGATATTTGTGCTATATTAGCATATTTTTTAAAGTTTGTGGTATTAATGAGGCTTAGTATTGAAATAGTAGTAAAAAAAAAACAACACTTAAATTCATTTCTTTCACTTTCACGCTAAGAAAAGGCTTTTTTTTAAGTCCCTTCATTTACGTTTATTCCCCTCACTCAGTTTAAGATAGAAATTTCCATCGGGAAATTAAGCTATAATGCGTATAGCAAATATTGATCATGCTTCAATTCTGTAAATAGTAATAACATTTCTAATTTTTTTGTCACTTCAACTCAACAGCCTGTTGTTTAAAAATGACGGGTTTGCGAATAACAATGTAAATTCTTTCGATGTTGCTCAGTAAAAGATAATACAAGAGAAATTATTGTTAAAAAAATAATTAATTATCATCGAAAATAAACATTTAGTTTTATCTAGAGATGAAAAAACATTTTTTACTTATATTTTGAAAATCGAAATAAAACTTTTGACTGACAGCAGCTGAATAGTTGATAAAAATAAAAAGAATAATAAGCTACAAGTAAAAACAAAACTTAGAAAACCACTCAAGAAAGGCTCAGGTGGTTTCTCTGTTTTTTTTTGTTTTGTTTTTTTTTACTCCAGTGCATACTATTTACGAGGATGGGAGTTGCTGTGCACCTACGATACATTTCTTGTCCCATGATAAAAATGCTGTCTCCCTACACTTTACTTACGACTACTACTGTAATTATTTTTTATGTTCTTCTTCTTCTTCTATAAATAAAATACATGAGGCTATTTAATTTTTCATTATTAGAACAACGAAAAAAGCATTTAAACAAGATTTTTTTAAAGAGTTCATTGATTCGTAACAAAAAAAACATCTCTTGTTTGATTTATTTTTCATCATCATCATCATCAAATGCAACACTAATACACGACCAAGGCAAATGCCAATTAATGGGGTTAAAGAACACTGTTGATGCTGATCTTTCAAACAACGAGGGCTTCTTTTGAAGGTTCGGTGTAAAAATAACAACTCTAGAGAGAAGCTTTATTCGACTAAATTCAGCTTTTAACGTTCTTTATTATTTTAAGTAATGAATGGTTATATAAAGCGAGAGTGGGGCTGGGATATGAGCTTATTTTATTTATTATCATTACCACATTCGGCATTCACAATGTTGTCTTTTACTCAGACTCGAACACCGACCTCTATCACCTGTGAGAAATACGCAACTATTTCAGCCACGAGCCAAAGCCAACTTTTTTCTCCATTACTGAAGAAGAGTATCTGCAAAATTGTGAAAAAAAAAAATCCAACCAATTTGTCTTCTAAAAATAAAAACAAAACTGAAAACGTTTGTTTTCATTTTTATTTTCGAAGAAGAAAAAGCAAAAATTTGCTCCTTATTTTCAATTCATTTCTCGTTATTGTTTCTTTTACATTCGTGATTTGAACAGAAATGTCAGTAGTAGTAAAATGAATAAAATAAAATGTCTTAAATGAATTTCAAAATAAAAACCCAGTAACAATTCTTACATTTTTTTGAAGGCGTTTAAAAAGACAAAGAAACCATGCTATATTTCAGATCTCTCAAAAAATGCCTTTTTGAATTTTATTTTGCGGCAATTACTTTTCCCAAAACAGTCAAAACAATTTGAATTTCGAACAGCCATATAAATTTTTTATTTTTATCAAGATGAGGAAAAGAACAGGTCTCGTCTCATTAGCAATTAGTTAAAAAAAAGTCACTCATGACTAAGAGGAGAGATACATAACAAATTAAAAATGAAGGGTTTTTCATTCTAGGTAGCTAGCTTCCATGTAGTAGAGTATAGTTTTGTTTTTAGAAAAACAATTTTGCAAATCACTGATCGATTGGTCAGATTATTATTCAATCAATACACGTGCACTTACCACTCACGCACACGTGTTGATTGTTAAGAAAATGAAGGAACCTTTTTAATTTGTGGCGTAAAAAGAGGGTGTTTTTTTGTTTTTGTATTTTTTTTAAGAAAAGTCATATTGTACGCTTTGTTAGTGTAGGAAAAATCATAATTTCAGCTTGTGTAAAGAAAAAAAGGCGTAAGTAATGTTTTTTTTTTTTAAATAGGTGATATTTGTTTTAATGAAATAAATAAAAATAAAATCTTAAATTAAGTAGCTTATGAAATAAGTGAAACTAAATGTTGGTTTATTAAAATAGTATTTAATTACCATAAATTAGACAAGACTTGGCCACTTTCATATGGTATATGACTGAAATGAATGCTTGTTAGCAAGTTTGTTTCATTCTAAAATCAATTATGACTAAGGAGTTTGATTCTCACTGAGTGCTCCATACTTGGGCCATATCTAATCTATGCTTACTAAATCATTAAATTAGACATGACTTGTTAATACTTTGTTGCTAATATTGATAAACTTAATGTCAATAACACTAACAGTCATATTTAATGGAAACAAAAATATACAAACCATACATTTATTTTTTTTAAATCTACATTTAAGATATTTATTCCTAAATTTGGTTACATATTAAAAAAAAAAAAGAATATTATAGCGTTACAGCTACCAGGGTTGTCAATTCCTTAAAATGAAAATGCAGAATGCAGGGCTGATGTTTATCAATCAAGGGAACCTGTGGACAGGTTCCCAACTATGTGGTCCGTGGATTCCATTAAGGATAAGTTCCCAAACAAGTATCCATTTGCTCGGGAAGTAATTTTGTATAAATGCAGATAAATATTTTATTTGTATAGATTATTAAAACAACTAACTTATAATCACTCATAAATTTACTAACTTAAGTTGATTTACTTCCCTTTTCACTACAGATGAGACAGGGAATATATAAATAAGTACAAATTGATAATTATTATATGGTTTGATATTTCATCGTAATGCATCTGAACAGCTCAAAAGATGTATAATAGAATAACCCACCATAAATGATTTTTAAGTGAAATCAGATTTTTGTCAAAATTTCTAAGATGAGGCGTTATCATTGTTATAAAATAAAATAAGACATATCTCGGCTGATTTACAGGCAAATACTCAAGAGTTTAGAACTGGATGTGAACGGGACAAAGCCCGCCACAAAATGACCATTATCTTTCTTTACAAATGTTTCCAACACACGTGTTCCGGTCGAAAAATAAAATAATATTTAAAGTGCTCTATTTTTCGTCCAATAAAAATGCTTCCCTCCTAATTATACTCGCTTCATTTCTCGAGCCTGTTAAGCCATAAAAATCGCTATAAAAGGGGTCACACGGAAGTTCAAAGGCAGTCAACAGGTGGCCACAAAGGAGACCAGTCACGTTCAGCAGCTGTCAGCAGGAGAGCATCAACCACCGTCAACATGTGTGAACTACTATGAGAGATCGACCAGATCCGAAAGCCGGCTTATGAACTTCACCACGAGGTAGCTGTCCCAAACCCTCATGTTCCTGTTGAAATAAACCGCGTAAATCTATTTCTGCTGTTGTCGTATTTCTTTCTTGCAACCACACGCTTGTCTATAACATCATTATTTACACTGTTTATATTGTCCTCATCTTTGTTGTTTTTTTTTTCAGCTGTTGTGCCCTCCAGCCTCAGGTGTATATCAATCTAGGTAATCTACATAGAATTTTGAACTGAACCCTTTATTTAATTTATGAGGGTAAACTTTTTTCATTCCACTGCTCATGTCTAGGGATATCATCTAGCTCTTACTTTATTTAGTACTGTTCAATTTTTGCTCACCCATTTCCACTGAATATAAGTACATTGGTTTGTGAATTTGGTGACATAGTGGTTGTGAGTTCAATCCCCAGTTTGGGTACTGTATACTTGTCCAGTGGAAACGAGAGCAAAAACTAAACAATATTAAATAACATAAGAACGAGACGATATCCCTAGACATGAGCAGTGGAATGAGAACAGTCTACCATCATAGATTAAATAAAAGGTTCAATTCAGAATTCCCTGTAGATTACCCAGATCTACTCAATATACCCGATATAGACTTAAAGAAGGTCGAAGGGCACAATGGCTGAAAGTTTGTGATAAAATATCCTTAGGAGGCACAGTGGAGTAATGGATAGCAGCCTGGATTGAGGAATCGGAGAGTCAAGTTAGAATTCCAGTCAGATCCATTACATTCACTTACGTGATAATACCCTTGGGAAAGGTATGAATCCTCTTCTTCTCCCCACAGCTATGGGTAAATAGCAGGGCAGATAAATTATTTTCTACCCTACAACCCCGTTCTGTCATGGATGAAACATCACAAACTGCTCCATCACTATTTCCATGGAAAGTGCTCAAATGAACTACATTCCTTAGTTCCACCAGTTCTAACCTTCATGGCTAAGACTCACCATGCCACACATTGTGGTCAATCCCTTCATATTCCATTGGTGAGATGTAAGCTCCACTTGAGCAGCTTCTTTCCGCAAACTGCTGCTTTGTGGAACTGACTCCCAAGAGAATGCTTTCCCATTCATTACAATTTTAACCTGTTCAAGTCTAGGGTGAACCATTATCTTCCCTATATATCCCCATAAATTGTTCTACTTACTCTGTAGCCCTCTACCTAGAATGGCACCCGGGTTTTGTACACTGTAAACTTCATGTAGGTATACACCTTCTCAGTCTACAGCACAATCTTATCAGACATGGAAATTAACAGACTTTATTTAGTGTTCTATTGTCAGATCATGATATATGGCTTGAACTGGTGTTTGGCTGACTATTGTCATAGTTGGCTGTACTGTACTGGTTGTGTCACTTTGTTAGTCTTAATGGCTGTCTTCAGGTCAATACACCAAAGTCGCTTTTTCTGTTTCTTACT